AGATGAAGCCGTTGTCCTTGCCGTCGCCCATGAACCGCTGGAAGGCCTTCACACGGTACACGGCGAAGACGCTGTCTGGATCGTCGCCCGTGAGCGGCTTTGGGTCTCCCGCCAACACGCTGAACATATCGCCCAGCGTCATGGCGACGAGGCCGTCCTTGCCGAACTTCTCCTCGACGGCGGCCCGCTCCAACGCCTCGCCCATCCCCACGGCCATGAGAGGCTCGAAGAGGGCGAAGTCCGCATACCTTGTGTTTTTGTCAATCTTCATCGTTGGCAAGCAGTTGGGACGGGAAGCCGTTTTCCTTCATCCAGGCCCACGTCTCCTCGTCGATGGTGTCGTTGGTGATGATGCGTCCCTTGAAGACCACGCCGTCCCTTGCCGCGTTGCCACGGAGACGGTGCGCCTTCTTATCGGGGTTCGCCTTGCGCTGGGCGTAGGCCACCTCGATGGCCATGTCACGCCAGCAATTCACGCAGTTGGTCTTCTTGGGCGGCTCGACGCCGACCTTCGCACCCTCTGCGATGATGAAGTCGATCTCCTCCTTGGAGTAGCGACCCTTTTTCTCTATCAAAGCCTTGATTTCCATTTCAGCCAAAGGATTAGGATGAGACCCACGGAGAGGAGTGAGAAGGCAAACCAAACACCAGCCCCGAAGGCTGCGGCCTTGCCTTTCCTATCTTCGTGCGTCTCTTGGTTTTTCATTTCGATGGTCTGCTGTTGCATTTCTGCCTTGGCGGTGTCGGCCACGACCGTCTCGGCGTGGAAGGTGGCGGTGTCCGATCGCTGCGTCTTGGTCTTCTCGGTCTTGCGGGTGCGCACCACGTCACGGGCGACCTCCTGGAGTCTTCCCAGGTTGTCGGGTCGTATGACGACGAAGGTGGTCTCCGTCTCGGTCACCTTCTCGGTGACTCCGACGCTTACCGCCCGCGCCACGCTGTCGGCGTGCCGCTCGTAGGTGGCCGCCGTCTCGGTCTGCGTGATCGTGACGGCTTCCCGTTTCGAGTGGCACCCCATCGTGACAGCGGGAACCAATAAAACCAATACTATAATGGACAAAGTCTTCATTTTTACCGAAAAGGGGGAAGCCTCGCAGCCTCCCCCTCCACCTTCGAAATTATGCAGAAACAGCTTGTTTTCAATTAGTACGCTACGGCGATGAGCGCCTCGAAAGCCGCCTTGGTGGTGGCGTAGTCGGTGTCGAAGAGGGTCACCTCGAAGAAGTTCTCCACGGTCGACATGGTGGCGACCACGCAGCCGCCGTTCTCGTATTCGTTGCGGACGATGCCGTCTGCGTTGGCCTTGAGGCCTTGCTCCGATCCGATGACGACGAAGGAGCCGTCGCCGTTCTTGTCCTTCTTCTCAAGGATGAGCAAGAAACCAAGGGCGGACGAGTGCAGAGGCTCGACGATTTTCTTGGAGACGTCGGCACCGCGCAGCGGGATGTTGACGACTGCGGTCTTGGTGTACTGCACCATGCCGTTCTCGTCGGTGCTTTGGACGGTCGTGCCGGTGAACGGCTGCGAGAAGGCAGCGTTGTCGACCACGGCGACCTTGACACCCACGCCGAGCGTGATGGCGGTGATGATGCGGGGATTGGTGAGGCTCTTGGTCAGCGTGGGGGCGTCGCTCAAGTTGATGAGGACGCCACGACCCGTGAAGCCGTTGACCAGAGGGTTGGAGCAATCTTTCGCAATGTTGGCGGCGATGTCAGCCGCGCAGGAAGTGTATGCCATGTTGTTAATCCTTTCTTTTTAGAGTGCTATGTATGTGTTACGATAGTAGATGCCGGCGATGTCGTCCACCAGCTTCGACGGGAGGCCGCTGACGGTCTGCACCTTGCGGAGCAGGCGGTCGGCGTTGTCCACGTCACCCTGCGAGGCGTAGGCGTTCGCGCTTTGCTGCGGGGTGTCCTTGGTCTTTCCTCCCGAGCGGGTGGCGACGGCGTGGCGGTTGAGCAGAAGGATGGCGGTGAGCTGCATGACGGCGGCGATGACGTCGGCGTCGGTGGCCGAGTAGGTCGGGGCGAGCTTGGCGATGTACGCCTCCTTCACCTCGCCCTCGGCGTGGTCGATTTCGGTCTGCGTCACCTGCAAGGAGACGCGGAAGCCCGCTTGTCTATATTGCTCTGCCGTCATCCTTCCGTCCTCCAAGTTTAGGAACCAACACCGAAGGCGACCGACAGCAGACCGTGGACGGCCGCGCCGATGTTGCGCTCACGCTGGTAGTTCATGACGTTGAACTCATACTTCGGATAACTCACCTGCATGGCGTTCTTCTCCTTCACCCAGTACTCGGACGGGACGAAGCAGATGAGGCCCGTGGCCTTGTCGGTCACATAGATGCGATCCACGCCCAGCATGGCCGCGACCTCTTCCTTGCTGCGGAAGATGTCATCGCCACCGGAAGCGTACTTGAACTTGGCGAGGGCGGTCAGTTGGGCTTGGCTCATGACCATCCACTTGGGGCCGATGCCAGTACGGACGGCGTCGGCGATGGTACGGGCTTCGACGAAGGTCACGTCGGTCGGGTCGACCACGGTCACGGCGGTGCGGAAGGCATCCGAGGTGCCGAGGCCAACGAGAGGCTCGATGGTGGTGATGTCGGTGAAGTCGGTCGTGTTGCCGAGCATGACGGAGATGATGGCGTTGATGATCTGGCGGTCCAGTTCCTCATTCAGCCAACGCAGGAAGGTGGCGGTGCTGCCGCTCTCCTCGATGTCGTCGAGGTCTTCGAAGGCGACCTGCTGACGCTTGTAGATGTACTGCGTGGTGATGGTCTTGCCTTGCACCGTGAGGGCTTGGATTTCCTTCTCGGTGACGGAGGTCTTGTCCCAGCCGTGGGCCACGACGTCGGCGTCGTTGAAGTCCTGGTCGGTGTAGAAGAACTTGGAGAAACTCACCTTCTTCAAGGCTGCGAAGAGTTCGTCGCTGTCGCCCCAGTTGTCGTTGACGGCGAAGTCGATGGTGTCGTTGAACGACAAACCCGTGATGCCGTTCTTCAAGAGGACGGCGTTGACGGCGTCGGTGATGCCCTCGCGGCCCTTGGAGCGCAGGATGGCGGCGGCCACCTGGTTCTTGACGGCGGGCGTCAGCTTGTCGCTCACGGGCATGGTCTTGTACATATCCATGACGCGCTTCTCGACCTTGGCGATGGCGTTGGCCACAGCCTCGGGGACGTCACGGTCTTCACGGTTGTAGGCGTCGATGAGTTCGCGGACTCTGCTGGCCAGCTCGGCCTCGTCCACCTCTATCTCGGCGTTCTCGAGTTCGTCGAGCATCTCCACCAGGCTGCGGCGCAGCTCGGCGGCGTCCTCGGTCAACTCGTTCTTGACTTGCTTGCGTGCGTTGGCGATCTTGGTCTGCAACGTGCTGAAGTCTTTGATGGTTACGATTTTCTTTTTCATGATTAGTGGGATTTAAGGATTCTTTTCTTGGGTTTCGTGCCGTCGTTGAGACGGTTGCGGTATGTCAGCTCGTTGCGCACAGCCTCGCCGATGGCCTCGAAGGCGACGGCGTTGGCGGGTGCGGTGACGAGGGAGACGGAGAGGACGTCCATCTTGCGGATGAGCATATAGTCGAACTCGCCGTTCTCCTTGTAGCGGTATTCGTATTCGGTGGCCCAGCCGCACTTGCTGAAGCCTTGAAGGATGCCCTCCTCGAGCATGGTCTTGACTTGCTCGTAGCGGGGAAGGCGGCGGGGTATGTAGGCGACGAAGTAGAAGCCCACGGTGTTGGCCTCGAGGTAGATGACACGGCCGACTTGGTCGTCGATCGTCCAGCCGTGCTGAACGTCCACCACCATGTTGAGCTTGTTGTCGATGAAGTAGGACTGGATGAAATCGTCGAGGCAGCCCTGCTCGTATCGTTCGCCGTTCTCGTTGGTCTTGCCGAACTTGGTCTCGTAGCCTTTGATGATAAGGCCGTCGAGGAGCTTCGTGTCGGTGTCCCTCTTGGTGATGGTAGACAGCGGCAGTGCGGTGACCTCTTGCCAGTCACCTATGAGCGTCGCGTCTTGTATGAGTTTCTTCTCTTGTTTCATTGCGGGTCGGTGATTTGCTCGACAGCGGTCACGGTGTTGCGGTCGGGCTTGTTGTAGATGGTGTATGTCACTTGCAGGCCGAGGTCCGCGGCGAACTTCACGAAGGTGCGGTTCAGCAGACGCTCGAAGCTCTGGTACTTGTTGAAGTCTCCCTCGCGCAGCTCGGTGCCGTTGGCCAGCGTCTTGGACGAGGTGGCGTCGATAATGGCGATCTGGTTGGCGGGGACTTTGATGCGGTCGGCGATGGCGCAGACGCACATCCTCACGCGGTCGCTCATCTTGGTGTCGATGCTGGCGAGGTTGATGGTCTCGAACTTCATCCCACGGGGGAGGAGCATGATCTGCCGCTGCTTGTTCAGCAGGCCGTATTCCTGCGAGATGGTCTCCTCCATCTCCTTCTTGTCCTCGGGTTTGAGAGTGGATACGGTCGGGGCCATGCTGCCGTTGTCGGGAGAGGCGACCACGAATGCGCCCATCTTCTCGCAGGCGGTGTTCGATGCGTTGAGGGTGTTGTCGAGGAACTTGACGAAGGGGCGGCAGAGGTCGTAGTCGCTGCGCGCCTCCTCGGCATAGACGGGCGACTTCATGACGTAGCAGAACAGCTCGGGGTCTTTCGCCTTGATGGCCACGTCGGCACCGTTGCCGACACACAGGTACTCGCTCTCGTTGAGCAGACGGAAGTCGCCCCGCTCCTTGTTCAGCCCGATGACGGCGAAGCCTCGGCGGTAGATACGCCAAAGGATGGCCTTGCCCTCGTCCTCGAAGAAGCGGGCGAAGCGTGCGAAGGTCAGCGTGTCGTTTTTGTCGAGATGCACCCAGGTGACGTCGTTGGCGATGTCGGTGAGCAGTTCCACGATGTTGCGGAAGACGAGGTCGCCGAACTGGTAGCAGGTGAGACCCTCCCATCCGACATAGTAGCCGGTCTTGAGGATTGAGGTGGTCTTCGCCAAACGCGGGAAAAGACGAGAAACGTAGTCTCGGAGGGTCATGTGAAAAAATGTTTCATGTTATCGGCGGCAAAAATAGGCCACAATTTCGGACTTGTCAAGGGGTTGGCAAATTTCGTTGACAAATCCCACGCCTTCGGTGCGCCTTTCGTAATCGTCAAGGCGGGCGGAGACAAAGAAAAAGCCCCGCATCCCTGCGAGGCTTCAGCCTTAAAAGTATAGCGAAAACGGGAGGCTCTCACTCCACGCTGTCCTTTGCAGCGGCTTTATGGTTGGGTTAATGATTAGGTTGATTATGGGAGGGGTTTCCGAGGCCGCCTCTATTTTGTTACGCCGTCCATCTCTGCAAATTGAATGAGCTATTAAGGGCGTCGACGTTGTCGTCATGTTCGCACTTCTCGGCGAAGGTGTAGACCTGCTCCAAGAAGGATCGGTTCGCCTCCGTGTCGTGGACGATGGTCTTGGTCGTGAGGTTCTGGTAGTTGTCGACGATGCGCTGGTATTTGTTGCCACGGCTGTACCATCCCTCGACGGGCAGGCCGCTGTTGGAGGCGAAGTCGTAGAAGTCGATGCCGACGATGCCGTTGGTCTCGACGTAGACTCGTCGGATGTCCCACGCCTTGCACCATTCCATGATGCGGCGGGCGACGGCCTCACGGGTGCCGGTGTTGACACTGAACGAGTCGAGCAGCCACACGTTGCCGTCGTCGTCGGTGGCGGTGAGGCAGCAGGCGAAGAAGTCGGCCCCACGCAGGGCGGACGGGTCGCAGAAGACGCAGAAGTTGCGCAGGGCGAGGTCGCCGTCGGGTCGCCTCGGCAGCTCCGTCTCGGTGTGGATGTTGGAGCGTGTGAAGATCGCCCCGTCGATCTCGGCGTATTCGCCGAGGTAGTACATGGCGTAAAGGGCGCGGTCGACGCTGGTGGCGTCGGGGCTTTCGGCTCTCGCCTTGAGGTTGTCGAACCATGCCAGCTGCACGGGGGTGAGGTTGGCCTCGTTGTCCTTCCACGTCGAGTGGATGAGCGTGAAGCCCATCTCCTCCGACCAGCACCGGCTGTTTGGGTTGCGGTCGATGAAGACGCCCTTGCGGACACTTGCCGAGAGGTCGGTGTACTGCTGCTTGGTGAAGTTGTTCGCCTCGTTGATGTAGAGCCAGTCGCACTTGATGCCCTTGGCGCGTTCGGGGTCGGTGTACGACTTGAAGAACATCTTGCCGCCGTTGCGTGCCTTGATGACCTTGGGCGACTTGCCGAGGGTGACGTATGGCAACACCGATGGAGAGCCGTTGATGATGTCGATGGCGTCTGCGTAGGCTCCCATCTCGCCCTGGTTCTCCGTCATGGTGGCGACGCTGACGATGTCGCCCTTGAGCATCCGTCCGAGGAGCTTCTGCAGGATAAACCACGTCTTGCCCGATCGTCGGCCTCCCATGAAGTCGAAGAGGCGCACGCCTCCCTTGGCGAGTGGGAGGTATCTCGCCTGAAGGGTTGGCGACACCCTTGCGATGAGTTCGGTGTCGTCAGTCGTCGAGGCCATCGTCAACGAGTTTCACGGGGATGCTTGTCTCCACCTGCACGCTCTCGGAGATGCCGTTGAGGCGTGCGACGAGGTTGGCGTTGTACATGCCGACGACGGCACCGCTGACCTGCTGGTCGCGCACACGCGCCTCAAGCGCACGGATGACGGCAGAAAACTCGTCTTCAGCGTGATAGGAGCGGTATTCCTTCCACGAGGATATGCCGCACCACAGCCCGAGGCCGTCGAGGGTGTAGGGGCGGCGGATGTACATCGTCCCTTCGTCGGACTTGACCCCGCTGCCGTTCTTGGCGGACTGGTTGGCCGCTGCCGCCTTGCGCTGCCACACCTCGATGGGATGGGTGTCGCAATACTGGAAATAACCCTCGGCCTTCTCTTGCAGTTCCTCGGGTGTCTTGAACTTGGGCGGCCTGCCGCCTGCGTGTTTAGTCGTTTCCATTGCTTATCCTTTCTGCCTTTTTGCCCGTGAGCTTCTCCCAGCGGGCTATGATTACGTCGCAATAATGCGGGTCGAATTCCATCATAAAGCAGCGGCGGTCGAGTTGCTCGGCTGCGATGAGCGTCGTGCCGCTGCCTCCGAAAGGCTCCAATACAATATCGCCATCCCTTGAGTGCATCTTGATACAACGCCACGGCAGCTCGACGGGAAACTCTGCTGGATGACCTCCCGTGCGCTTGTTCACTGTTGCAATATTCCAGATAGACCATTGTCCCCACTCGCTTTCCTCGGATTTCGGCAAAACTTTCCCGAAGATATTGAGGTTGTCGTATTGTCTCCTAATTTCGTCGTAATCTTTCTCGAAGGCTTTGATGCTGTTCTTTTTGCAATAGTTTTGGATTTTGGTATAATTGGCCTCGTCCATCATTGCCCATTGATGAGTTGTAAACCAGTGACCAAACATAAATCCTGCACCAGTTATCTCTTTGAGGATGGCATTGTCGAGTTTCGCAATCTTGGCTTGTTGCGACATATATTCGATGATGGGCTTGTAGTCTTTTTCGTAGTCTTTTTTGCCGTAGCACAAGATCCACTCGTACTCTTGCACTGGTTTCATTGTCACGGTGTAGTAAGGATTTGTTCCTGCAAAGTTTCCGCCTTGCTTTTTCCAAATCCTCGCATACATAGGCAAAAAGCCACACTCTTCCATTTTCATGGTCGAATACATGGACGTTGGCTCGTAAAATTGCGTTCCAGTTGCAAACAAGTCGCCGATATTCCACACGATTATTCGGGCGTGCTTTGTGATGTTTTCGATAACTGCGAAAATTGTCTTTTTCCACGGCTCAATCCCCGCCTCCTCGTAACTTTTCCCGACACCGTAAGGCGGCGAAGTGACGACAAGACGTGCTTGTTTTCCATCCATAAGCAGAGCCACGCTGCCTGCGTCGGTGCTGTCGCCGCACATGAGACGGTGCTTTCCGAGCTTCCAGATGTCGCCTTTCTTGCAGACGGTCTCCACGGGTTTGTCGGGGTCGAAGTCGTCCTCTTGCGCCTGCTTCTGCACCTCGGGTATCTCCATCCCCCACGCCTTGGCTAGGTCGTCGCCGAGGGTCTCCTGCACCTTGGCGAGGTCGAGGTCGATGCCTTTCAAGGCGGTCATGTTGTCGGCGAGTGCCAGCTCCCTCCCTTCGGGGCTGTCGAGGCTCAAGTCCGTCCGTTGCACCACCACCAGCTTCTTGCCGTCGGTGGGGACCACGATGACGTCCTCCATGCCGATGGCGGCGGCGGTCTCGGTGGTGGAGTTGCCAGCGATGATATTTCCGTCCTTGTCGACGAGGATGGAGCGTCCCGCCCCGAACTTGCGGAGCGAGTCCTCGAGGAGTTTCTGCCCGAACTCGGTGTGCTTGTTGAAGTTCTCGCCGTCGGGCGTGAGGTCGGCGAGGGTCTTTATGTCTTTCGTGTCTTTCATGGTTGCAAAATTAGTCATTTTTTCGGATTTGTCAAGGGTTCGTAAAAATGCCACAGGCGGGCCTCACGGCAGGCCGTGGCGGGTTTCCTTTCAGTCGTGGCTTCCCACGGAGCGGGGACTTTCCCCGCTTTGGGTCAAATATCCTTCGACGGTAGAGATGAAGTCTTCGAGGCTGCGGCAGACGGCGTACTTATAGCCGTATTTCTCCACCTTGAGCTGCCAGAGCCCCTGCTCGGACGATTGCCGCCCCGTCTCGGTCTTCATCTCGATGCAGAGGGCGTGCCACATATAGCGGCACCCTTCCTCGATGTGCGGCACCAGCAGGATAAGGTCGGCGACTCCGGCGACGACGCCCTCGGCCTTGAGCTTGCCCGCCGTGGCCTTGCTCCTCGCTCCTCCGTTGGGGACGGCGAAAAGGAGGCCTTGCAGTTCGGGGTGCTGGTATGCGAACCACTTGACGCAGGCGCATTGCAGGTTGTGTTCTTCTTGGTTCATAGGTTTTCCTCCATCCATTTCTTCGCCTCGGTGTATCCTTCCCGCCCTTTGGCGGTGCAGTTGTGGATTGTCATCCAGTCGCCGGACGGCATCCGCTCCTGCACCACCCAGGTATCGGACGGAAAAAGGCAGACGAGACGGTGTTGTTTCTTGTCCATGATTAGAAGGGCAGATCGTCTTGTTCGGGTTCTTGGTTGAGTGGTGCCATCGGCTTGTCGAAGTTCTCCATCGTCGGGGTTTTCGCCACGGCTGGGACAATCATTCGGGCGATGGCCTCGGTGAACCATCGCTCCTCGTTGGTGTTGGGGTTGAGCCAGCTGCGGCTCTCCACGTCGAAGGTGACGTTGATGAGTGCGCCAGGCGTGAAGGCGGTGACGGTCTCGCAGACGCTGTTGAAGCAGGTGAGGGCGATTGTCTTGGGGTAGTGGTCGGTGGTCTCGACGACCGCTGTGACCTTGCGCCAAGCGTCGCCCTTCTTGTTGACGCCTTCCTGGGCGTCGCAGATCTTGATGAGTTTCGCGTTCTTAATTTCCATAACTTGTTGATATTTAATTAGTTAATATATAAATTGTTGGTTATCAATTATTTGTATTCCGTCCCGCAGTAGTCGCACTTCCCGTTGTGGATGGGTGCGCCGCATTGCGGGCAGGTATGGAGTTTGCTCTTGTGTCTCGGTTTCGGTGGGTCTATGCCGTAGACCTTGCAGATGTCGGCGATGCGCTGCTCGAGTTCCTGGGCTTCAATCTCTATGCCTTCGGCTTCGACTTCGTCGAGGACTTGCTTGATTGCCTCCTTCACTGCGATTGCCTTCTGCTGCTCGGCTGTGATGACGCACTCTCCCGCGCTGACTTGTGCGAAGCGTTTGCGGCGGAAGATGGTCTGTGCCTTTATTTTTCCGTTCATATTGCGAAAGCGATTAGTAGGACGAGGGCCACGATGACGGCGAGGCATACGCCCAGCACGAAGATGCAGCCGGAGACGTCACGCCCGTAGTCGTCGTCCATTGGGTTGTTGGTGGGTGTGTTCATGGGTCAGCAGGTTTTGCGCAGCTCACGGTACGAGGTCTCGTCCATGAGCGGGGTGAGTATGTCGGATGGCTTGAGGCCGGCGGTGTTGCAGCTTGTGATCCAGGCGACGACGGCGAGGTGTCTCGCCCGATTGTTCAGCTCGTTAAGGTTGACGCCCGTCCAGTCGGCGAGGGGTCGCTGGTGGTTCTTGACACGTTCGACGTTGATCTGGTCACGGGCTTTGCCGAGGAGGTCGGTGGCGGCGTCGACGGGTATTTGGTTTCGGAGGCGGAGGTAGTTGTACTCCCTCAGCGGGTCGAAGTAGGCTTTTATTCCTCCGGCGATGTTTTGGGCGACGAGGTCGAGGAGTTCGATGGTGTCCTCTTCGGTGTCGCCGGTCTTTATCTTGTCTATCCACCAGCGGCACTCCGTGGCCTTTTGCGTGTGGCCGAGGCCCTTGTTCTCGAGTTCACGGAGCTGCTGCGTCCAGTAGTGGAGGTCTCCCTTGTCCATGTCTCTCCGATCCGTCGGGGCTGTGTAGTGCTTTCGGACGGCTTGGAAGAGGAAGGACGGCGAGAAGGGCGTCTTGTCGTCGTGCAGTACCTCGAAGATGACGGCCTCGTCGACTGTCTCGATGGGGACGGATGGGAGGTACTTGAGCAGATCGCCCTTGAATGTGTCGACGATCTCGGAGAGGTTGTCGGGTAGCTGCCGAGATTTGCGGTGATAGGCTTGTTGCACTATCTGGGTGAGGCGCATGGTGGCCTCGTAGGGGTTTAGGTCTTTGAGTGGTGTGTTCATATCGCTCCTTTCGTTTCTATGAGGGTCTTGCCCCCGTGTGTGTCCATGTAGTCTTTCTTCTCTTGGTCGGTGAGTGCCTCCCATGCGACACGGATGATAAACTCCTCGTTTGTCTCGGTCTTGGAGGACATCGCTGCGGGCTTGGGCTTCGCCTTGCCCGTCTTGATGTCATCCTCAAGGACCGCCGTCTTCACCCACGAGAGGATGGCGGCGGCGTGGTTGGTGTAGTGCGTTCCGTTCTGCGCCATGAAGGCGGAGAGTTTGTCGACGCATCGTTGGATGAAGTCTTCGTCGAGGCCCTCGGTGGCGAAGTTCATACGGATGGTCTCGAAGTCGGAGGGGGAGAGGATGACGTTCTTGAAAATTCCGATTTTTTCATCCTCGCGCGCGCTGTGTGTGTGTATAGATAAATTTTCTTGTATTCTTTCTTTCTTTACTTCTTTATATTCTTCAGTTGTTGCCATTGGAGTGACATTTTGTTTGTCATCGGCTTGCCATTGGTTTGCCATTGGCGTGACATTTTGTTTGTCATTTGTTTGACATTCCGTTTGCTCACAATCTTGGTAATTGTCATAATTACAAATAGTTATAATTGTGTAGTGGCTTGTCGTTTGTTTGACAATTTGCTTGCTCTCTTCGAGGCGCTCAAGGCATACCCTTGTTTGACGTGTTGTTAGCCCCGTAGCCTCGGCAAGTTTCGACACGGAGGTGACGAGCTGGCCGCGCTTGATGTCGACGCCGTGCCACTTCTTTCCCTTCCAGTTGGCAGATATGAGCAGGTGAATCCAGAGGGCTACCATGTTCGGGTCGCCGTACCATTCCCACTCCTTGATCTTGTAGTAGATTTTTATCCAGCCCTCATTCATTGCTCACCTCCTTTCTCCGTTGAGTAAGCCTTTAATCCTTTCAAAACGTCTCGGATTGTTCTCTCACAGCATCCGTATTTTTCGCAAAGCATTTTAATGGTGAACTTATACGGCTTGTATTGGCTTCTTATTTCTTCTGCCTCATTTTTGGTGAACTTTGGCTCTCCATTGTTCGGTAAGTTTCGGGTTTGGGCGGTAATTGTCATCAATCCGTTTTCCCATGCTCTTCTCATGTTTTCGGTGTGTGAAACATATTCAAGGTTACAAGCCCTGTTGTCGTGTTTCCTGCCGTTGATGTGGTCGACTTGTTGGTCTGATTTACCAATCCATGCCAAAGCGACGAGACGATGGAGGAAATAGCTTTCCATCTTGTTGTTGCCTTGGTTTCTCTTTGTAAAGGTCACCCTTAAATACCCATACTTATCCGAAACACACCTTAAAATTTTCGGCTTTCTCGTCCTTTGAACTTCTATCCCGTTAAGGATATAGCTCTCGGTTAATTCCTTGCTTTTGATGCGTCCGTAATTTGAAATCTCGTAAGGACGTCCTAATACTTGTAAGGTCTTCCATTGTTCTCCATCCAGTTGTAGCGATGTGGAGTAGTCGTTTTCCGAAAAGCCTACCACTGGGGCATAAAGGCCTTTTGATTGCAATTTTTTAGTTTTCATTTTTGTGATATTTGAGCAATACGGCACAAAAGAAAAGGCAGTGTGTCGCTTCCTGCCGCTCAAGTCATCACAAGGGACTGCCGAGGCCATTATAACCAGGGCGCAGGGTTCGCACACTGCCATATTGTAATCGCTCCGCTCCGAGCATAAAAAATGCCCGTCGCTCTGCGAGTTACGGACTGACATTTCAGTCCCTTGTGTTTGATTTGAGCGGTGCAAATATACGATTATTTTCCTTTGTGCCTGCATAATTCTCAACTTTTTTTGATGGTTTTCGACTTGGCGGCGTGCTTGTCGAGCCACGCCTCCACGGTAGCCTTGTTCGGGTGCCGGTATGTGTAGCGTCTCCCGTTGACGCAGATGTCGCCGACCCACGCCCCCTTGTTCTGGTACACGCTGCCACGCCCGTACGGTCGCTTCTCCTTCGTCGCCCTCGCCTCCTTGACCTTCTCGTAGTATTTGAGCTGCGAGGCCTTGCGGGGATCGTCGCCGGCGGTGATGCGGGCCGCGAGGAGGTCAGGCGTCTCCACCACCTCGGTTGCGTCCTTGACGGCGGTGTCGGGCAGGAGGTAGCGGAAGACCTTGTCGTCGCCGTTCGCCCAGCGGTAGCAATAGCCGCAGCAGCACTCCGCGTCGGCGTCGTACATGGCGCACTGCACGGAGCAGGGCCTGCCCGCCTGCATGGTCTCCACGAGCCACAGCCTCTTGTGGTGATGCACCATGTCGCCCGCCTCAATCGTGTTTGATGTCCTTGTCTTCATTGCGTCGAATCTTTTTCAGTAGTTTTTTCGCTTTCCTTCTGGTCTCGTCGTCGCGCCAGTCGCCCCTCGGGTTGGCGAGCCTCTCCAAGAGGCGAAGGGCGGCGTGAAGGTCTCGGTCGGTCATGTCATCCTATATTGCGCCACAGTCTTGCCCGTGGCCGTCTTGATTCGGTCGACGATTATGTTGTAGCCCTGCACCCTCAAGTCGTGGATGCGGCTGGCGAGTCGGAAGCAGCCGAAGAGGTTGAGTGCCTCGAGGGCCGTGATGGTGTTGCCGCCCTTCAGGTGCGCGGCTATCTGCTTGCATTGGGTCTCGGTCGTCATGGCTTACTTTATTTGAAGTGATACATTCTCCACGAGGTGCGCCCCAGGCACGTCCTCGCCTTGTTGGATTGCCTTCTTGATGGCGGCCTTGTCGGCGACCTCCTCCACCTTCGTCGTCTTGAACTCCGAAGGCAGGGCAGCGATGTCGTCCACCTCCGTGGCCGTCGTGTGGCGCAAGGAGAGGCGCATGGTGGCGTTTTCGACCTTGTCTTGGCCGAAGACCTGCATGGCCTGCGAAAGTGCGCCCTCGAGGCGTTTCTGCGTGTTCTCGTAGAACTTCTGCAAGCCCGCGAGTCGGTCTTTCTCGACCTTGGCGGCTGCGGCCATCGCCTTTAGGTTGAGGATGGCGTGGCCGTAGTCCACGGTCTTGGCGGCGAACTGCTCCTCGTTGATGGCGAGGGCGTTCTCTATTTCGGGGGTGATCTCCCCGCCCAGCTCTTCCAGTTGGGCGAGGATGGCGTTCAGCTCGGCTGTGATGCCGTAGAGGGTCGGGGCGTTCATTGCTCGCCTCCTTCCTCGTTGGCCTTCTGCTCGGCACGGAATGCGCGGTACTCGTCCTCGAACCTCGCCTGCTCCTTGCTGACTTCGTAGAGCTGCTCGTCCATTGTGTCGTTGACACGTCGGCAGGCGGCCTGGTATTCCAGCGTGAGGCGGTATTTCTCATCCTCCGCCTTTCGTGTGATTTGTCTTTTTTGTTCTTTGAACTCGAGCCTCTTCTGGTCGAGGTTCCATTGCTTGAATTTGTTTTCCATTTTTTCGTTGTTTTTATTGGTTGGTGTTATGTTGATAGTATTCTTGTTCTTCGTCGACGGCGGTGCCGTCGGCGTAGTGGTATAAGTCTTCGAGGTTCATTGCTCATCCTCCCACATTTCGTCGAAGTTATCGCAGACGCTTGTCTTCGTGACTCTTGGATAGTTTCCGTTAAAGTCAAGGCTGCATCCGTGGCCCATGCGGCTGCCGTATGCGGCTGGCACTCGGTGTGTGCAGTTTCCGCAGCATCTTGCAGGTCGGTAGTTGTTATGTCCTCCGTATCTCATGCCGCGCCTCCTTTCAGTTCCGTTCCCTTGCGGGTGACCGCATCCTTGAAGGCTGCGTTCTTTCCCCACTTGGCTGCGTTTGTCTTCCATATTCTCGTCAGGTCGTCCACGTCGATGCAGTCGGCGACCACGTCGAGCAACGCGGCCAGCTCTTCCTTGTCGGCGTTCTGCTCATCCTCGGGGAGATCTTCACCCGCGTAGATGTAGAGGCCGAGGCCGTGACGCGCGCACGCCTTCGTGAGGCTGCGCTGGATGGCCTTGTTGACGTCCATGCTCGTCACCTTATCCAAGGGGATGCTCTGGTTGCGGTAGTCCATGACGGGGAGATATTCGATGTGTTCCAAGCCCTCGATGGTGACGCCGGTCTTCACCCATGCGGTGCGTCCGTCGTGGTGGTAGTTCCTGCCCTCCTCGTTCTCGTAGATCGTGTAAAAGGCGGCGGGGTAGGCCTTCTTGACCTCGCTCCAAGCCCAAGCCCAGGAGAGGTAGGTGAGGCCGTTCTTCTGCTCGGTGTGGCCGTTCACGTTGACGGCATTGAGCGTTGCAAATACTGATTTTTCCATTTTCCGTTGGTTTTATTGGTGTTCTAATCTAAAGGACATGACGGCGATGGAGCGGGATGCGAGGAGCTGCGTCAGCTCCGCCCTTGAGTAGTAGCGGGGCGAGTTGTCCGCCACGCCCTTGCGCAGCGTGGTGAGGCTGTCGGCGTTGGCGAGTACGAAGGCCCTGCCGAACTCCTTGAAGGCCTGTCGCTGGCTGATGAGGTCGGATGTCGGGGCGAGTGCCTTGACCGCCTCCGCCGCACCCATGCGGGCCGCCTGCTCTATTATGCCGATGATGTCCTTGTTCATTTACTTGGTGAGTTTGGCCCAGAGGGCGGTGAAGGTTATGAAGCCGGACACGCCGACGAGGCGGACGGCGATTTCATGTGCGCTGCCGTCCATGACGCAGACGGCTGCGAAGACCGACACGCAGGCCATGAAGCCGCAGATCGTGCCGAGGGTGTTCTTGATTGTTGCTTTCATTTTTCCGTGGTTTTGAAAAGTTGTTCTTCCGTTGTGTTGAGTGCCTGGGCGATGAGGCGCAGGGCCGCTGGTGCCGGATGGCGGTGGCCGAGGCACCACTGGTACACGGCCGATACCGTGTTGCCCGTCTCTGCGGCGAGGTAGGCGAGGAAGCTCTCACGCTCCCCCGCCGCCTTGGCCTGCTCGTAGTGTTGTCGTAGTGTCATTGCTGGTTGAGTTGTTCGTTGTACTGGTTCTGCCTCTTGATGAAGTCGAGGCCGCTGTCGCAGATGCCGTTGAAGTCGGCGAAGATTTCCGCGAAGATGTCGGGGATGGTTTTTTCTTTTTTCATTTTTCGTTGATTTTTCGTTGTTGTTTCCGTTGATTTTTCTATTTTTGTCCGTGTTTGTTTCACATTGACAACGCAAAAATAGTATTTTAATGATACGACAAGCAAAAAATTGAAAAATTTACGAAAAAATCTGAAAATTTATGGAAAATATTGATTATCAAAGAATTGAAAAAACACGAAAAATGCTTGATTTCGCTAATTTCAAGGAGTTTGGCGAAAAAATCGGAGTTTCTTCGCAGGTTTTCTACGACATTAAGGCTGGAAAACATGGGATTTCAAAGGCACTCGCCGAGAAAATACACGCATACGACGAGCGTATCTCGGTCGCTTGGCTGCTTACTGGTGACGGTGAGGAAATGGCAAAAGCCGTCCCGATGGAGTCGGATATGTCCTATCTGCTCCGTATAGTCGAAGACCACGACGTCCGATTCCATGAGTTGGCGCATCGCATTCTTGACGGGATGGGTGTGCCGAGAACGACAAAACAACAAACTGCATAATAATAAAAATGTACGCACAATGAAAAGATTTGTTATCCTTGCGGCCCTCGTCTTGGCCGCACTCATTATGAAGGCGCAGGCACCAGCCGACAGCGTGTCGGTAATGTTCCAGCACCTCAAGGACACCAACGCAGCCACGGCGCAGCTCAATAAAGACATTAAAACTCACGCCGTGATGGTGTGTGGAGGTGGCGCGGTGATGACGGCAGGGCTGCTCTACGCGGCCAACATGAAGGAAGACATAAACGGCGAGCCTATACTTGAAGGCAGGCGCATAAGGACGGGACTCTGCATCGCGTCCGTAGGTGCGGCGGTCATGGTGCTGTCGGTCATCCCCATCTCGCGCAACGGCGTGACGCTGGACGAGCGCGGCCTCGTCGTCACTCCGTCCAAACTTGGAAAGAAGAGGGAGTAAAAACGGAAAGCCCCCGACCAACAGGCCGAGGGCAACAACGAAAAAATCTTCGGAAAAATCTTTTTTATGGATACGGGTGCAAATGTACGAATTTATCCGAACACCAGCGTCAACACTTTTCGGTTGGCCTCCCACACCCTCCGCCAGTCCCTGGCGATATAGATGTCGGTGACCTTGTCGCGGCTGGCGTGGTTGAGTGCCTCGTTGACTGTGTCCCTATCCACGCCGCACTCGTTGCGGGCTATCGTCGCCCATGAATGGCGGGCGTAGTAGGTGGTGAGATTGTCGATGCCCGTGAGCCTCCCCACCTCCTTGAGGCCACGGTTTACGCTGCGGTTGAACTCCTTGAAATCGTAGTACCTCTCGTCGAAGCCCAGGGGCGACCTCGTGCCGCTGTATCGGTCGAAGACCGCCTTCGCCTCGGGTTCTATCCTCACCCGCATCTCCGCCTTGTCGGATCGCCTGCTGTCCGTCTTGGCTCGCTTGTAGGTCAGCACACCTCCGCAGATGTCCGCCTTCTTGATGCGGTAGATGTCCGCCGTGTTCATCCCGCACAAAGCGAACGACAGCACGAACACGTCACGGGCGAGTTTTCCCCTCGACGTCAGCGGCTCGCTTTCGGCGATGGCCTTGACCTGCTCCGGCGTCAGGTCTCGGTGGGAGGCGGTAGGCTGCGGCGGGATCATGTCCTTGAAAGGCTGGCGGGGGATACGCACCACGCCCACGTCGTCGTCGTTGTATCGGTCACGGGCGAGGTTGTGGAGCCGTGCCAGGTGGGAGAGGTAGAACGACCCAGCCCTGCACCCCTTGCCGTTGCGCCTCTCGATCCATGCGAGGAAGTCGGCGACCATCCGCTTGTCGATGTCGTTCACGTCCACGCTGTCCCTGCCGAGGAACTTCTTGAAGGCGTTGAGGCTGTAATTGTAGCCCTGCGCCGTCCCTCGCTCCATCCCCTCGGTCTGCGTTTCCGAGAAGGCGATGAAGTCGAGGCGGAAGCCCTTGGCCCCAGCAAGCCTCTCCTGGACGATTTCCCACAGCGTAGGGGCGTCGTAGGCCTCGGGACAATCGATTTGTCCAACGGCGGCGCGAAGACGCCCCAGGAGGCGTTCTATCGCGTCGAGGACGGCCGAGTCCTTGACACGCTTCCCGTCCCTGCTCAGCTGGTCACGGGTGACGAAGATGGAGGTGGGCCGGCGGACGAGTCTCCGCCCGTGCGTCATTCGGACGCTGACGAGATAGGTGCCGTCGGCCTTGCGGTGACGGGACACCTCATAATGAAAAGTAGCCATTTTTCCGTAGTTTTTGTCGTTTTTGTGAAACGTCTGCGAAACATTCGCACCGCAAAAATACTCAAAAAGTGAAACCAAGTGACACCGAAGCGAAAAATTACCACGCAGGGATATAAAGCAAAAGAGCCGCATCGCTGCGACTCTCTTGGCGTCGGAGTGGCCCGACTCGAACGGGCGACCGCTTGCACCCCATGCAGGGACGCAAACGTCACGCACACGCCTCAAAGCGAAGCGGTTGCAAATTCAAACCTTTTCCGATTTCGAAACATTCGGCGAATTTTTGCGGAAAAAAGCCCCCGTCGGGGAGACGGAGGCACAAACTAAAAACATTATGAAAAGCAAATGAATTGAAAGGGTTTATCTATTGCGGGGTCACCTGGCTGACCTTCTGCATGGTCATGGTCAGCACGCCGTCGCTCCAGTCGGCACTCGTCCAGATGTAGGCCATGCCACGCCACACCCATACGTCGTCGGGCTTCAGCTTGAAAAACTCGGCCTCGCCCCTGCGCATCTTGATCTTCACGCACGTCGAGTCGGTTCCGATGTCCTCGTATCCCACCATCTCGGCGTCGGGTATGCGCTGCAAGGACGGCACCGTCCCGTCGGCGTAGGCGATGGTCGGCTTCTTGGCCTTGAGCTTGTAGGTATTGCTTCCCGAGTCGTACTCCACGTCGTTGATGGCGATGCCGTTGGTGCCGACGTTGCCCTCGCTGAACTTGGTCTTGACGGTCTTCTTGTCGGTCACCTGCTCGCTGTCGATGAAGTAGCCCCAGGTGATGGGCTGCTCGACATAATCCTCCGAGTCGAAGGCGACCTCGGCGTCCCTCGTGTTGTTCCCCCAAGGCTCCACCCTGCGGTTCACGCTGTCGACGCTGATGACTCGGTCGCAGACTTTGAATGCGTTGCCGTAGGCTCCCGCTTTGATGCGGATGCCGAGATCGTCGACCAACAGCTCCATGCCTGCGGACAAAGCCGCCGACTTGAGCAGCTCGAAGAAGGTCATGTCGGGCATATTGTGCTGCATATACCACGGCGTCGAGTAGGCGATGTCGGACTTGCTCACCACGTTGAAGGAAAATGAATAGGGGTAGTGGGTGTCCTTGTAGCCGACATATCCGCCAGGAGCGCCCCAGTTGACCGACCACATATTCTTGGCAAAGAAGTAGGTGTGGCCCTTCTTGAGCTGAACCGTGCGCCCGTCAAGCGCGCCCGTGCCGTCTCCGTGCGGGTCTGCCTTTCCGTTGGCGAGGACTCCTCCGAGGGTTTGATAGTCGTTAAGTTTGGAGGCGTACTGAACGAGGAAGACACCCGTCGGGAACGGGGAGGGGAAGGTCAGCTCGACGTCCTCGGTGGGCTGGAAGCCCTTGGCGTTGACCGTTCCGCCACCGACCAAAGCCCCGAATATGCTGCCCGTGGCCCACTCCAAGTCGATGTCCACCACGTCGAAGAACTGATGAACCTGCGACACGGTTAGGTTGGTGGTGCCGGTGGAGGCGATGGTGATGGTCTCCATACCGCTGCCCTTGAGGGTGCTGGAGACGAGCCAATACTCACGGGGCAGCTGTATGTCGTTGGGGATTGCCCGAACGTCGCACAAGTCCTTGATAAAGGCCTTTAGGTTGATGGACGGGAGAAAAGTCCAGCCCGATGTGCTGATGCCGTTCTCGTAGGGCAGAATCTTGATACCTTGACCGCCGACAAAGACGAAGAGGTCGGGGTCGTCGCACAACGTCTCCGAGGAGGCGTCCCAGTAGATGCCTTTGTTCCAACTCGTCACCATGTCGGCGACTTTGAGACTCTGCAACTCGTCAATCCACGGGGCGTTGCCAAGTATCATCGAACACTTGAAGGCCTCGCCCTCGTAGCCGGTGACGGCGATGGTGCCTGTGAAGGCCCCGCCGTCGTAGACCACCTGGCACGGGGCGTTGGTGCGCATGACCTCGCCGTATTGAGACGGGTCGTCCGTGAATCCGAGGAGCTGTCGGTTGCGCTGCGTGGCTGGGATGGAGAACTCCACCGAGCGGCCAAGACTAATATCGCAGAAGCGGAACTGCTGGTTGTCCCTCTTGAACGAGGGCTGCGACCCCTCGGCCATGTCGACGAATCCCAATCCGATGATGTTAATGCGTATCATAGTGGCGGAGTTTAAGTGCGAACTCGAAGTTGTAGAAGCCGTTGCCCTGCGGGGTCTCCATCTCGTTGACGTCGCAGAAGGCTGCGGTCTCCATGCTGCTGATCTCCGTCTCGAAGTTTGCGACGGTCGGCATGATGACGGCGTGGAGGTCGTTGGCCCGCAGGATGTCCATGTAGTACCAATATCCGTAGGCGGTGAGGCCTGTGAGACGGCAGCGCACGGCGTCGTAGGTGTCCTTGCGGACGTCGTAGCCGTTTCCCGCCTCCACGACGCTGACGCTCTGGTCCGCCCCGTTGATGAAGGCGGCGATGGGGAACCAATGCTGTCGCACGCAGCCCGTTCGGGAAGTCCAACGGCATACGACGAGGTTGGTGCAGTAGTCGGGCTTCATGAGCGGCCACTCCTTGCTGTCCACTCCGTCGGTGCAGGCGAGCGTGTCGGCCGTGTCGTCGATGTCGAGGCGGTTCGTCCTGGCTCCCGCCGGCGTGATGGTGGACGACACGCCACCGGCCCTTTGCGCCCATGTCACGGCGTTGTTGATGACGTGGAGGTTGCTCTCCACCATGATGTCGATGCCGTAGGCGTTTGTGGGGTTGATGATGACGTTGGGCGGCATGACGACGTTGTGTCCGTAGGCTGCGAAGAACCGCTCGGCGTCCTTGTTTCTCGGCGCGAAGACGTTGTAATAGGACATACCGACCAACACCTCGATCTTGAGGGCGAGGGTGTCGACGGTGGTGCCGTTGGTCTCCGTCATCGTGATGGCAAGGGCGAGCATCGACCCCGCCGCCGCCATAAAGTCACGCAGTGGCAGCTCGAGGACACCCTGCGGGTCGGTGTAGTAGACGATGGTGTCGCCCGTGGAGTAGTCAATCTGCACGAGGCTCAATTGCTGCATATCCTCACGCTTGATGCGCAGCATGGAACGGCTCAAGGTGTAGCCGAGTAGGTTGCCGCCGCTTCCGTTCTCGCCTTGGAAGGTGGCTGTGAACTTGCTGTTGTCGCTGGGTTTTACTATCATATTATCTCAATTTCGCCGCCTCGTCGAGCGTGGCGACCTTGTTGGTGAAGTCTTTGAACTCGGAGTAGACGAGGACGGGGGCGGGCATCGACCGCAGCGCGTCGGCGAGGGCCGAGTACATCCCGCCCGCCTTGCTTCCTCCATTCGCTATTTCGAACAGTTGCTTCTGCTGGTTGGCGTTCAGCACCATCTCGCCACGGCGGGCGATGATGGCGGTGTTGTCGTGCCCCATGCTTACGCCGTGGTAGCCTCCGATGACGCCGCCCGACTCATAGGCCTCGTTGAGCAGGCTCTTGGCCTGGGCGATGGCGGAGAGAATGGTGGCGGTCATGGTGGCGATGGCGGGGATGGCTGCGGGGAATCCCACGTCCACGGCGGTGGCCACGCCCTTGGCGACGGCCGCTCCTGCGTTGGTGGCGATTTGGATTTTGCTCCACGCCTTGGCCTTGCGCGCAGCCTTGGCTCTCTCCTCCTCGCTCTTGCTCTCGTCTTGCGCCATCGTCTTGTACATCGAGGCGACCGACGAGAACGAAGACTCGAGGGCTGCCGATGTCTCCATGATGATCTGGGCGTTCTCTTTGTACTCCTGCGAGAAGTTGTAGAGCGGGTTGGACTGCCTTTCGAGGCGTTCCATGACGTCGTCGAGGTCGCCCATCGCCTGCATGATCTCCTGCGCCTCCTTGAGTTTCTTGTTGGCGGAGTCGAGCTTGTCGGCGAGTTTCTGCATCGCCTCGGCGGTGTATTCCACGGCCTTGGCGTATTCCTGCTCGCTCATCGTCGTGGTGGTGATGGTGTCGAGGTGTCCGAAGAGTGTCTTGTTGGCCTCACGGATGGCGGTGACCTCTTGTTTCCATCTTTCCCACGATGCCTTGGCTGCCTCTTGTTGGCGTTTCCTTTCCTCCTCGTCCTCCTTCTTGCGCTGTATAGCAAGTCGCAGACGCTCGGACTGGAGCGTCTTGTCTCTAACAGCTACGTCATCCCAAAGGTCCAGCAGCTTCTTGCTGTTTTCGAGTGCCTGCTTCTGCTTGTCGATGGTCTCCTGCCATACGGCAGTCACGGATGCGGGGACAGTTCCAGCCGCTTCCTCCATCCTCTTGACGTTCGCCTCGTAGTTCTCAAGGAGTACCTCGTAATCCCTTGCCATCTTGCGATGCTCTCGCACATTGTAACCGAGTCGCTCCTTCTCTTGGTCGATGCTCTTCTGCCTCGCATCCATCAATGCGTCTTCGCGCTTGCGAATCTCGTCAGTAGCAATTCCCAAAGCCTTCGCGCTCTCGAGTCGCATCTCGGCCTCGGTGATGGCGCGGTCTTGCAGTTCCTTGTATTTGTTCGACAACTCGTTGAGATAGTCGATTTGTTTTTTGAGTTGGAAGTTGACCTTCTCGGTCTGCTCTTCCTGCTCCTTGCTTCCGCGTGTGAAGGCTGCGATGGCACCCACCACCGTGAGGATGATGCCAGCGAGCCACACATAGACGTTGGACTTGGCCACCTTGTTGAAGACCGCCTGCGCCGCCTCCGCGTCCCGTGTGGCGGCCGCGTAGACACGCTGCGCCGCTGCCGCGGCCAATAGGCGGACACGGTTCACGCCCATCATGAGGGCGGACTCCTTTTGCAGTGCGTTCTGGACGGCCTGCAAGCCCGTGGTGATGGCGATGGCCGCCTGTAGTTTGCGCTGCGCCTCGGCGAGTTCCTTGGCCGTCTCGCTGTCCTTGTCGCCGACGAGGTTCATGACACCGAGGGCGACGGAGAAACCGCCAGCGGCCGCCTGCGCGGCACCGAGGACGGAGTTGAGTGCCGACGTGTCGGATGCCATCTGCTTGACCTCACGCTGTGCGTCGGACATGGCGTCCTTCATCTTTCCCGTGGCCATGAGGAGGTCATTGTACTCCTCGGTGTTCTCCTTGCCCTCCATTCGGAGGCGGATGAGTTCCTGCGTCATCTCACGCAGCTGCGCCGTCACGGGCTTCATGGCGTCGGGGTAGTTGCCCACGTTGCGCTGGAAGTCGCCCATCGTCCCGTCGGCTTCCTTCATCTTTGCGTCGAGGTCTTGGATGTGTTGGAGCAATTCCTGCCCCTTGGCCGACTCCCGCTCCGAGGCGGAGAGGCTGCGGTACTCGTTCTTGAGCGCGGTGAGTTCCGCGCCCATCTCCTTGAGGCTGTCGCCAAGTCTTTTGTTGGTTCCGACTTGTGCGTTGAACTGGTTGGTCAACGCCTTCTGCGTGGCCGTGAGGGTCTTGAGGCGTTGCTCGTTGACGGCGAGTTGCCCGCTCACGTCCTTCCACGTCTTCGTGCCGTCCTTGACCTCCTTCTTGAGTGCGGCGTTCTGCGCCTTGACGGCTGCGATCTGCTCGTTGACTTGGGCGAGCTGGTTGGCGACGCCCTTGGCGTCGAGCTGGATGTCGATTACGATGGTCTCTTTCTCTTCCATTTATTTCGCTCTTATTGTTTCGTGAATCTGCATAACGAAGACCGAGCGGAGGCCGTCTTTGACCTTCTCGGCTGCGTCCATGACGATGGACGTGTAGACGTCGACGGGTCGCTGGTGCCGTAGTGTCCCCTGCTCGGCGATCCTTCGGCCCAGCATGGTGGCGTGGCCCCAGCCGAAGTCTTGGATGCCTTTGTCCTTGGCCCATTGCACGAGGATGGCCTTGAACGTGTTCGACACGTCACGGACTCCGTCTTTTGTCATGCGGAAGCCGCCAGGGACGTCTCCTCCTGGGCGGCCTATCTCCAAGGTCTCGAGCGGCGCGGTGTCGGGGTTTCCGTAGACAAGGCGCACGCCGTTGGCGTACTCCTCAACCCGCCAAGAACGGGAGGAACGCCCCGAGGCGTTGATGTCCTCCTGCTCCATGCGTGCCTGGATTTCCTCCTTGGCCTTGTCCAATATTTCCACCACTTGCTCCCTCATAGATACTGCAGCCCTTCGATGTACGCCCACTTGATCCACGGGCGGTTCTTCAATTTCGTCATTACGACCCCGTAGGCGTGGCCTCTCGCCTCGATGACCTGCCCGCCTCCGATGTAGACGCCGACGTGTCCCTTCATGAAGACGGCGACACCTGGCACGTCCGGCATCTCGTCCATCCTCGTCCCCTTGCGTGTGCAGTAGGCGAAGAAGGCGTCGGCCGATTTGTCGGGGAAGCCGTTGGAGAGGTAGACGGGCTTCGCCTCGGCGTTGTCGCTCCAGAAGTAGCCCTTGATGAGACCGATGCAGTCGTGGACACGCTGGGTGTACTGACGCTCGAAGTCGGTGGCGGTGTAATACTTCGGGTATTGCCTGCGCTTCGCCCTCAATAGGACTGGCGTGGCGGTCTGCCCGAAGCATCCGTACCAATACGGGCGACCGAGTTGGGTTCGGCAGTAGGCCACGAGGCCGAGGTTATTCTTCTTCTGCTGGTTCATCCGTTTTGCGTTTTTCGGCGAGGTACTTCTTGAAATCTCCGTTGAGGTAGCCCTCGATGTCCTCCACCTTTCGACCTATCTTTTTGACCTCCTCGATGATCTCGGAGTTGTCGTCGCCGTTCTTCAGTGTGGCCTTGTAGTTCAGCTCCGACAGCTCCTTGACCTTCATGAGGTAGTCACTCGCCAAGTCCATCTGCTCCCGCTGGCTTTCCACGTCTGCCTTCTTGACCTCGATGGTCTTGAGCTCTCGTGTCTGCTTGCGGAAGCGGATGGCCTCGACGACGCCGCCTACCGTCGTCCCGCTTAATAGCGCGATTATGATTGACGTCCATTCCATTGCTTTTCCTCCTACATTCCGAAGAGAGGCTTGGCCGTGGCCTTGCACGCCTCGCAGAAGTCATTGTACTCGGAAAACTCGTCACCCTTGACGGAGTGTTGGCGCAACAGTGCCAGCTCGTCGTCCTCGGTGTAGCGTTCGCGTATCATGGCGACCACGACCTTGGGATAGGTCACGTCGCCGTCGACTGTCACCTGGTCGCATTCCCACTGCGTCCCGTCTTCGGTCTCGACGGCGTGGATGTTGGTGTTGACGTAGTGCTTGCCGTAGCCGATGTTCTCGAAGGTCTGCGGCTTGTTTTGGTATCTTGTTTTCATGTCGTTATGAGTTTTAGGTTGTTCAGTATTGTGTTTTCAAGACGGAAGGCGTCGCACCACAACAGCCATCCGTGCCACGAGGCGAACGAACGCCGCCATGTGTCTGGACGGATGAGGCCGTGACGAAGGCGCGACAGCTTCTTGAAGATGGTCTTCTTCATGCTCTTGCGGAGAAGGGCGTATCCGTGGAAAAACCGGTAGCCGAGGAAGTCGATGCCACGGTCGTCAACGGGGAATATCTGCCAGTCGTACTTCAGTTCAAGGCGTAGCAGCTTGAGTTCCTCGCGCACTGTCGCAAGGATGTCACGCAGCTCCTCCTTTGTCGGTGCGAGAAATACCATGTCGTCGACATATCGGTAGTAATGCCGGACGCCGTGGATTTCCTTCATGCGGTGGTCGAAGCCGGTGAGGTATAGGTTGGCGAGATGCTGCGAGAGATAATTGCCTATCGGCAAGCCATCCTCGCTGTCGATGATTTCGTCGAGCAACGCCAGCAGCCGCGCGTCCTTGATTTTGCGGCGGAGGATCTGCTTCATGATCTCATGGTCGATGCTCGGATAATATTTTCGTATGTCGGTCTTGAGACAATAGACGGTGTCCTTCGGGTTGGCCCTTAAGTCGTGGCGGAGACTCCATGCGCAGGCGTGCAGACCGCGCCCTTTGATACAGGCGTAGGTGTCGGCCGTGAAGGTGGCCTTCCATATCGGCTCAACCACGTTGACGATGGCGTGGTGGACGATGCGGTCGGGATAATACGGGAGTTTGTAGATGAGCCTTTCCTTTGGCTCGTGAATGGTCATGGTCTTATACGGTGACGTACGGAACGTTCCGTCAAGCAGAGCCTGGCGCAGACGAAGCAGGTCGTCCTCGCGGTGCTTGTCGTGCAGACGCACACCATAGGACGACTTCTTGCCCTTGCGGGCCTTGTCATCGGCCAGTCTCAAGTTGTCGAGACTGCAAACGCTGTCGAACAAATTACCGTATCTTTTCATTTCGCTTTGCTTTTGCGCGTCTTCTTCGCTTCCGCTACCAAAGCCGTGATTGTGTTGTTTTGTTTCACCGAATGGTGAGGTCTCACGTCCGCATATTTTTTTTTACAAGTCCGAGAGCCGATGTTCGAGTTCGTATTCGTGACCGAGTTATTCGAGTTCACGTAGGCGAGCCCCGCGTTCGTGCCGTTATTCGCGTTACCGCCAACGGACAAGCCCCTTTTGAACGTGACAACCTTTTCCATGACCTACTCAAGCCAATAGTTCTGGCCTTCCACCCTCATCGTGACGCGGCGCGGGAAGGCATTGCGCTCGCTTATCATGTCCAGCACTTGTTTAATCTCCGACGAGCCGGTAAAGAACTTCATCGCATCCTTATCGGAATCGTCCTTGTTGAACTTGATGAACACGATGTATTTCCCGTCCCCGTATTTCGTCTTGACATCCTTGCCATAGTCAAACACCCAGAACTCGCGGTTGATTAGTTGCTGCTGCGTGACCTTTTGGCAGTGGAACGTCTTCCTACCCTCGGGGCGTGGGAGCCTCAACGATGCGAGGCTCCCGTCGTCTTTTATCTCTTCCATGCTCATGGCTTACGCTGATTTTTTGAAAAAGCAAAGCCGAGAGCCGACGCTCGAGAACGAATGCGCGACCGAGTTAGCCGAGCTCACGTAGGCGAGCCCCGCGTACGAGCCGATAGACGCGCGACCGCCAACGGACAAGCCATACCAAGTCCCAGCGGCGTTTGCCTGATAGTAATAGTCGCAGTAATACGTGGTCGCACCACCACCGACAGTCGTCGGGATGATACTTCCGTCTTTGGCGATTGTCATCTTCTTCCAGTATCCATTCGAGTCACACTTGTCACCTTCAAGCACATAGTCGCCCTGCTCGGCCGCGCTGCTGTACTTTGACGGGTCTGCGCATCGATATGTCTTGTTGTCGTTGAACTTGATACCTTCAATCCAGTGGAAAATATGGCCGAAAATGTTCTCGACGCCACGGTAGCTGCAGACCTTCACCACGGTGCGCGTGACGGCGGTGAAATACGACGTGTTCGTCAACGCCTCGCCCGTGTTGGTCTGGATGCACTTGTAGAGGAGGTCACCGCTTGAATAGAATTTGTCGGCGACGCACTCCACGGCGGCATCGTACTCTCCGCCATAGTTATCCTCGCCAATCGCATCGTACTCGAAAGGCATGGTGTACAACACCTCTCCCGTGCCGTTTCCGAGGCTGTTGGTGATGCCGCAGTCAAGGAATGGGTTGTAGGAGTTAAGTGCAGACCATTTTGCATCCGCCAACGTTGTCGCACCGTCCCCGAGACCGCCCTGGCGGAAGCCCTCCGAGGTGAGTGCTGCGTTGACCGCGGCCTGCGAGTTGGTGTTGGCGAACTCGATGACGTAGAGCCAGTAGAGGTCGATGTAGAGGTCGTAGACCATGAAATTCCACGCCTCGCTGCCACGGTTACGCGCATAGGTTCTGTAGTTCGACATCGAAAGCGATGTCCTCGGTTTGCCACGCAAGTCGCGGTAGGTGTTATCCCATCCCTCCGTGTTGTTTCCGCCACGGAATTTGTCGGTGGCATTGACGACGGAGCAGAGCTTATTCTTCGTCGACAGCGTCTGGTCGACGGTTGCCTGGTAGGCTCCGATGTAATAGGTCTGGATGTGCTTCCATCCCTTCTGCCAGTAGGTCGACACCATAGCCGTGACGACGTCGCCTTCCTTTGTGACCTTGCGCCAGTGCTCCGGCACCTCGACCATGACCTGCCCGTCCGCACCCGATAGGTCGGCTGCGGTGCCGTCAGCCTTCAACGTACTGTCGGAGGCGTCAAGGTAATAGTTGACCGTGCCGTCGTCCTTCAGCAGGCAACGGCGTATCCCAGACTGGATCGGAAGGGACTGGTGCAATGCCATGTTTCCGACGCGCGGCTTGGCAGGCGAAGACAGTGTCTCGTCGTAGCTCACGCCGTAGACGTCATTCTGGTGCGACAGCAGGTCGAGCACCTCGGCGACGGATGTCTCCCCCACGTCTTCACCCGTCCACGCTCCGCTGTGGTCGGCGGTGAACTGGTAGAGCTTCCCGTCATAGACGACGATGTCGCCATCGTTGTAGGGCTGCGTGTCGTCGAAGTCCTCGAAGCCGAGGTTGTGCAGCAGCGTGTCGTCGGTGACGGGCGACCCGTTCTTGTCGCTTACGAAGGTAGCACCGACGTTTGGGTTCTTTCCTTCCGTCCAATCTTGCACAACGAAACGCTTGGCCGTTCCGCTGACGACGATGGCCTTGGCGGGCATGGTGAACTCACGGACGGAGAGGTCGATGCTGACCACGTTGCCGTCCTCGTCGGTGTAGTGGGCTTCCTGCAAGCCCCAGCCGCTCGAAGGCTGCCAGTCGATGGCGACGACCTCGCCAGCCTCGCAGTATTGGTTGTCAAGACCCGCATGGGCGACGCTGATGGCGCAGTGCCGCGGGTTGTCGATTTTGATTAAGTGTTTGCTCATTGTCTTTGTGTTTTTATGTTGTTTGAAATTGTTCTCATTGTTCGGGACAAGCGAATCCGACCACTTCACGAAGGTCGACGTTGACGCCGTAGCCCGTGAGGATGTCGTCATACTTGTCATAAATGCGTGCGGACTGCGCCTCGGCCACGATCTCCACGTCGGTGGACGAAGGGAGCGACATGAGCCAAGACAACGCCCTATTCTTGCAACGGTCGATGACGACCTCGTTCTGGACGGCGTTGAAGTCGATGCCTTCCTGCGCCTCCACGAAGAAGACGGCGGCGGAGACCTGCTCCTTGAGTTGACCGCCGATGTTCGGCACCCGCCCCCTCGTCAAGAGGATGAGCAGGGCGCACGGGAACTCCATCGTCTGCGTCATGAGGTTGAGGGTCGGGTCGTCGTGGTAGTAGACGGGGAAGGTGTGGTGGACGGTGGTCTGCACCCCGTTTGCGTCCGTTACCGTCTCGTCCCAGTCAAGCACCGCATGGATGCTGTTGATGATTTTGTCCACTATCGTCATGCCCTTGCTCCTTTCTTGATGTCTGCGGCCATGTTGCGGTCAACGATAGCCTGGTTGTATGCGTCACGTTTGGCGAGGATGAGGTCTGCGACCTTCAGGTTGTCCACGTCGGCGAAGGTGTGGAGGTTGAAGTACGAGCGGCAGAAGACGTACACCGATTCGTCGAAGGCGTAGTCGAGGCAGCCCTGCGACACCCGTATGCTCTCGGGCGTGGCGGGCAGCGTCAGCCGCTTGAGTTGCGAGATGAAGCCGTTGTCCTTGCCGTCGCCCATGAACCGCTGGAAGGCCTTCACACGGTACACGGCGAAGACGCTGTCTGGATCGTCGCCCGTGAGCGGCTTTGGGTCTCCCGCCAACACGCTGAACATATCGCCCAGCGTCATGGCGACGAGGCCGTCCTTGCCGAACTTCTCCTCGACGGCGGCCCGCTCCAACGCCTCGCCCATCCCCACGGCCATGAGAGGCTCGAAGAGGGCGAAGTCCGCATACCTTGTGTTTTTGTCAATCTTCATCGTTGGCAAGCAGTTGGGACGGGAAGCCGTTTTCCTTCATCCAGGCCCACGTCTCCTCGTCGATGGTGTCGTTGGTGATGATGCGTCCCTTGAAGACCACGCCGTCCCTTGCCGCGTTGCCACGGAGACGGTGCGCCTTCTTATCGGGGTTCGCCTTGCGCTGGGCGTAGGCCACCTCGATGGCCATGTCACGCCAGCAATTCACGCAGTTGGTCTTCTTGGGCGGCT